CAGACCATATGGTTTGGATTGATTCCAGGTTTTCCAGGCAGTTTTGTATTTTCAAACAATCATCTTGCAGAGATTTTAAATGTAATAGAGAGTAATGAACAGTAATCCATCACAGTAAGCAGTCAGTCAGCTTTAGTTTTTGTCAATTTTATATTATGACATTATATAGAGATGCAGTTGGAAGAAGGAATGAATAGGAAAACACTTCCTCTTTGGTGCATTCAGGAACACTTTAAAATCTGAAATGTGATCATTTAATGCTCAAATAATCATTTTTTATCCAAAAAACTACAAAATTCCCATTAATCGTTTTTCACTGATTGTTTTACTACAGACTTGAGTGACTTTGATTCCATGACAACAGAGCTCAAAACTGCATTAAAATAAGAAAGAGCAAGATTTGCTTTTATGATTTGGTGGAGGCTTTAATAATTAGATTAGATTAGATTCAACTTTATTGCCATTGTTGCAAGACAACTAAATGCAGTTCAGCATCTAACCAGAAGTACAAAAAGCAGCAAAGTGTAGACTAATGTGCATATGTAGAGGGATATAGAAAATAACATTATATATATATATATATATATATATGAATATACTAGCAGGATGAACAGCATTAACAGAATGAACAGAGTGAAGTAAACACACTAAGATATATATACAGCTATTAGGTTAAGATATTTACAGTATAAACAGATTAGCAGTAATTATATAGTGCAGATGTAGGTACAAGTAATTAACTTGGTTGACGTTATATACAGACAGCTAGATATGAATACACTATAGGTAGATATGTACAGTGTAGACAGAGGCAAGTCAATACACTATAGATATATACAGTAGGACAGTATAAATACTAATGACATATTCATTTTAAGGGAAAGTAACTCTTAACATACAGAAAATGTATTTGATATCTGTTCTGTCACTTTATTCTATTTATTTATTTTGTTGTTAATTATGTTCTTTTATGTTCTTTTTCAAAAGCCAGTATAACAAAGTGGGCATTGTGATGGATTAGCTGTTTAAAGAAGGTGCCCCTGCACATTGACTTTTAATCTTACACTGAACTGACACCGATGGCTGCCTGGAAAGTAGGACATCATTCTCACAACTAGTGGTAAACTTTGTGAAATGGTGGGCAGTAGTGTAATGTAACAATAAATTGTAGTTAATAGGCTAAAACACACCTTTAATCTGCAGAGGTTTAATTTGGCAACATGGCTACTAGGAATGTTTTTTTTTAAAATATGGTGGTCCTACAGTTTGTGTATGTGTGTCACTGTACCTCTGTACCCCTCACTGATCCTCCGATAAGCCCCTTAAGCCCAACTAAGCTTTGTTCTTCTTCAGCAAATGCAGTTGTCTGCTGAACCTTTTAACCCCTAGCATCAGAATGTGGGCCCCACACTCTGCACTGCTTCACCATTCATCATCCCATTGCATCCAGGGCTCTGGCTTTGTGGGTCAGTTAAGCTCATGTGTTAACCGTGGTTCAAACCAGCTTCCTCTGTCCTGCATTCCTTTGAACAGTCATGGGGCACATCCACTGGGTCAAAGGTGTGTCAGCCGGGAAATGGGTCATCTCTGATGTTGTGAAACACTCACTCCCAATTATAAGTCACACAAAGAAATTGCTTATTTAGACTGTGAATAACAAGACCAATGTCTTTTCACAGAGCAGCTTTGGACCCTTGACTCTTGCCATATGCTAGTGTACATTTCAATTTGTCTTAGTAACTTTAGTCCACATCATTTATTAGGAAGATACCGACTTACTATCCACATTTAGTATGTCCACTTGCTGATCAGATATACAGTAGTTCATAAGTTTTATTGGTCTAATGGTCATTGATGACAGCATTATTGTTCTTCTGTCTATCTGCAGGACCAATGTTCTTCCTGAGCTGTCTCAGTTTTGTAGTGGGTATTGCAATGCTCTACTATTACAGAGGTGAGTCATACAGAATTATGTAGAACTATTCAGACCTATTTGTTCTTTGGCATGTGAAATTTCAATGGATTAGAACCATTATTGTACAAAAACATGTAGCCTCACTAATTGTTTAATTTTATAACTCTGTGTTTAAATATTTCCTAAAACTCTTTGTTGCCACTCTTTCTGCCCACAGAGGGTGAGACATTGAGATGCACTGGTCCGTTTCTTCACTGCTCTGCTGCAAGACTTAGTAAAGATGTTTTAAATACCTATGCTGAGGTTGGAAGCCAGAAAAAATGAGGCAGTTAAGGTGCTTAAATGCTTAAGAACGAGCCATGTGAGAAGAACAAGCAATGAAATTTGCCACTTTGCTGTGCCAAACTCATAACGCTATAAACTCTTTTTTTCTAAAATGTAAACACTAATTGACTTGTTTTTTAATCCCTGAACATTGGCAAGTGTCACAAACTCTTTATATGAAGAAAAAAAATTCTACCATAATATTTGTATGTATGAGTCTTGCCTAGATTTATTGTGTATGCACAACAAAAGAATTCCAATCACATTTTCAGTGAAAAGTGAGAAACTAACTGATTAACTGCACACCCGCACAGGTGTTTTCTATCTGGCTGATTAGACCTCTGTTCAGGTTGAAGCTGGGTGGAGCTATGCTGGGAATTACATGATGTCACCAAACTCTATGAACCAATAAGAATGATACCTGCTGGTACAACAAGACCAAAAGAACAGTGAGGGAGATGCCAATCAAGTACCGGCTGTACACACCCACACTGTCCTTAGAAGAGGTCTAATTAGGACATAAGTGAAAACACTGGTGTGTCGGGACCAAATTGCTTGGCTTTAACTTTGACTAACAATGTTCAACCTTTGCTCAAATAAAGCACAAATCATTTTTACATCAGGTGGAGTTCTTATTTTTAATCTTGTATGACAAAGAATGGAAAAAAGATATACATAGAAATGTATGCAAATTAATCAGCATCAAATACTGTATATGGTATGATAGTTAAAAGGAGAATTCAGAGTAATGAGCAGTATGGTGATTAGCATTTCACATTTGTGTCTGGCACTGTTTTGTCTGCTGTGAACATGAAATGGAGAAATGATAAAAAATGTATCTCACTGACTGAACAGCATCAATAAATACACTAGAGGGCACTGCTCCCTCATTCAGTGCACCAAAGTGAAATACAAGGATGATGGAAAATGTTCTGGTGTGCTGTAACACTAACAAAACGAAGACAGCCCGCATTAATTAATAATGACAATAAAATTGATTCAATGAATAAAGTCAACCTAATTAAATGCTACATTGAACGCTTTTGACTTCTCGAGACAGACTTGGGTGCAGAGTGGAGGCATTTCATACTCACTTGAAGACCTTTCAAGTATTTCTTATAATAATGAATCAGTAGGAAAATGGCCACAGCAAAGATGGTACAGTGCAGCTCTGGAGGAGAGCTCAGGTGTCTGATCTCAGGAGATTTGCGTCACTGAGCTGCACTTTTCCGCCTCGGTCTTCTCTGCAAAGAGAGAGCAACAGATGAGAGAGGGGCGTCAGAGAGAAAGAGAGAGAGAGAGGAGGGACGGGGAGGTGTTAAAGGGGGTTGAAAGTGTCATCAGGATGATTGTCCAGTTTGAATACTGGCATCCACATTCCCATGAGAGAACTATTTATAATCTTGTTTCACACAAGCCAAGACTCCTCGTCGCTCATCAGCATCCTCTGATGTTAGACCCCCACAGAGCGTTTGTTACACTTCAGGCTTGAGACTGAGCCAGAAGTGTAGGAGCCATAGACATACATTATGTATATATATATCAGTCTACAGATCTGCCCAGAGTGGAGCTGTGTGTGTCATGAATCTGGCTCTCGGCTCGTCTGGCAGTTTCCACGGTTACCAATGATAGTTGTGGAGGAGGAAGAGGATCAGATTGTGATGTTGGTTTGTCATCTCAAAGGTGCTTTGTCACAATTGCGTTGAAGAAATTATAGATGCGAATATGAATATTCTTCAGGTGTTTAACAGATGAGATGAGGGAAAGCAGGCTCAAACTGCTTGTGTTAAACCACTCAAGTGTATAAATTGAGCATTTGCTTGGGCTCTAATTGGGGTTTCTGTGACACTGATGAAACACAGTCTAATTAAGGCTTCCATTTTAACAAGCAGTTCTGCTGGGGTCTGTGCTGTGTTGACTCTGACTCACCAGCTGCTGGTCCGGAGAACCACAGACACTCTCAAGTTTTGCTCATAGCACAGAGAGTCATGGCACAACCAAACATTGTTATAATTGAATGTTAGGCATGACGCCTGTGGTTGGGGACAGATGTATCGGTATGGTTAAAACTGTGGAGGTGAGTTGGAGCTTTGAGTTACATGAGACACACCCTGCCCTGCATACATTTGCTCAGCAGACCCATCAGATCTCCTGGTCCGAGCTGTCTGGAAAGGAACCATGACATCTTGCTCAAACGTCATCAATGCGATTAAAAATTGAAGCCTGTTCAGCAGTCAGCATTTGTGTGTGTGTAACTGTGGCTGTGCATTTGTTGTCTGGCCAGTGCCTGGGGTCACTCTCGGGCAGCAAAGGAGACAGACAGTATGAGGTCACATGTGCTTGACTACTGTTGTCTCCGCTTTCCTGTTTGTCCACCGGGAACAAATGTGTTGTTTACGTACCAGACCTCTTTGTCACTGCTGCTGTTTCTCTCTTGTTCGCTGTTTTCTGCAGTGCAGAACAATGATTTTCTGGTAACTGAACAGTGGTTGGATTTTGTTCTTGAGTTGTTTTCTGGAAACTTCTCTGAGAGCCTGGAGAGGTCAGTGTGTTTGTAGGTCAGGTAGGAGATTGTAGAGGTCATGTCAAGAGAGGAGAGGACCAAAAACATGCTGACTACATGGATATCTATAGGACCAAACTGCACAGTAAGGCAGGAGAGAAAATACCTGTTTGAAAAGAGAGAGGGAAGCAAAGAAAGAGGATGGACATAAAGAATGTATGTGATTAGCAAAAAGAGAAAGAATACCTGCGTGTGTTCTTGGTCAGTCGCTGCGGTTCGGCCTGTGGACTCCAAAAGCTGTGATGAAGACATTCACAACCACTATCACAAAAACCAGGCCTGTGGCCAAGTTTTCCATAAAGTTCAGCCTCCAATGCTTTTGCTCATCATTCAGGTTCCATCGAACTGTGGACAAAACCAGGAAATACAATTTAACAACACAAACACACACTCAATGAATGTCTAGTCAAACATCAGCAATCTACTTTATTCTGGGACCCAAGCCAAATCATTTTATACAGACTTACTGTCAACCAGAAGTCAATGTATACTTAATTCTGGATAATTCAGGGAGTTCACTTGTCTATGAGTGATCCAACAAAAATGCTGAGTATCAAATAATTAATTTTGACAAGGGCATATGAGGATGTGTAACTTAAATTCATAATGATGAATGAGTCTAATAATAAATAGAAAACATATTAGGATTTTTACCAAAAGAAAGTTGAAATTCTAAACATTTATACACAACTTTGTTTGATTTAAAGAGTTTCTGAATACATTTCTTCCATTTTAGTTTCTCTAATAATTAAATACATTTTATGAATAGATAACAAAACATTACAGTATCCATTAATGTGAGTAAAATATATCACAAAGTAAATGACAAAGTATATTTTACAGAATCTTCTTTAAATTATGAGCTATTAATACTAATGTTCTGTTTGGGCTCCTGAAGAGCCCGGGTTCTCTTACTTAGCTCAAAAAGAATATACTTAACATTGTTTTATCACCATGATACCTTATGACTTTCCTTATTCTATGAGAAATGTTTACAAACCTTATTTTGAATTGATGACATGTTACAGAAAATAATGTATAACTGTTTGGGGTCTGACAGATTCCAGCTATAAAACCTGGTTAATTACAGTGGATTCATCTTCTCTATATACCAGTGATTGGTGTTGACAGTAATGTTTATTCAGCAATATCCTCCCAAATCCCAAATATATCTGTTCGGATTTATGTAATTTGAGTTTTATAAGGAGTCTACACACTGTACATTTCTTTGTCTGAGAAAAGCATTTGTTTATGCACTAGCCCATTTTTCATTTCGACACATCAAATGTGCAAGCTCCGTTAGAAATGAAGGAACATTTCGATACTTTAAAATTTAAAGGAAAAATTATTCTTATAGTCAACAAATGTTCAATGTTCAAGTTAATGCTGATATGAGTACCATATAAGAATAATATAGATGTGTAGTGGTAGTATTAACGTATAAAATCAACAAGCTTTACCTCTGACATCCAAATACTTATTTCTGGGCATCGTTGTGGATACAGTCATTTAAGAAAGGCAAAGACAATGCAGAAATAAACAGGACAATACAGGGAACAGTGAACTGATCAAGGGAAGCTTGTATTTCCTATATAACACTGCTTCATTTCATTTGTGCTTTGTTACACAGGAAATTATGAAAAAACAAGTAATCCATGTTTTGGTAATGCCATAAATGTCATCTTCATCATCACAGGGACTGGTCTATGAATAATGTCAAAATTAAGGTGTGATCAGGGAAATGTGTGGGGGAAGTATACAGTAGTTCTGACTCTACAGGCACATGCTATGTGTATGTGTGCATATGTGACTGTGAGATTACCAAAGGTTAAATGGTGTAACGACCCCGCCTGTGTGTGTGTGTGTGT